GCTTGATTCCAACCTTTCCCCAGAGCCTGGGAGAAGCATATGGCTCTGACACAGGGAAGGATGACACAAATGATTCTTATTATAGCTATTTCCTGTGCAGGTAGTGATTTGGGGCTCTTTTGTAGATACTTGCATGTAGGAAATGCAACCTTATACTATATTCTGAAAAATTCACACATGTCCAGTTTGCATTTTTAAAATATGTGTTTGCAAAAATAGTGTAACCGTGGATGCCACAATTATTTAGTCAGGGTAACTTAAGAACATGGAGCAAAGGAACCAAAACTGGAACTGTGCTATTTCTTCTTCAAACTGAAACTGATTACCAACAACTATTTTCTAATTAAATTGGAACAAAATGGTGGAAAAACGGTGGGAAAAAAAAGAGTATTTCTGATTGCCAGCTCAAAACAACAGCGGAAATGAAAAGCAATGGCTTGCACTGAAAAATGTGACCAGGAGGGCACAGGGGAAGATGCGAGGAAGGGAAGTGGTGGCCACCAAGAGAGGCACAGAAATAAGGTGATGCCAGGAAGGAAAGTTCCTTTTGACCCAGATGAGGAGTGAGCTGGGTATCCACATACCTGGGTATCCACATATCCATATCCCTGTCTCCTGGGATGGAGGAAGATGTTGCACAGGAGGGGCTGACTGGAGAGAGTGAACAAGAAGAGATTCCCACATTTGCCTCTGACCCTCATAAATTCCTGTAGATTATTCCTAGCACCAGCTTCCTATAACCCACTCAACCCTTCCAGCCCCCCTTCTTTACCTACATAAACCCTCTGACAGCCCCACCACTGCCTGTCTCCTCTCCTAAACCTCTCTGGCCCCTCCTGTCACTCTCCATTGCCTCTGTCCACCCAAACTTACTCAGCAATTGTAGTGATCCCACTTAGGGAGAGCTGCCAAGCCTTCAAATACTTGAGCCTTTTCAGCTAAAACTGAATTGGAACAACTTCAGTGATAATCTGAAGATGAAGAACCAAACCAAATAAAAACATTTCTTAAACTCACTGCCCAGCTGATAAAGGTGGAAGATTTAGTAGTAGCATAGAGCAGCACCAACAATCAGTTTTAGGGACTCATGACAGTCCTCAACTGAAAGGGAAAATCTACATAGGCTAAATCTAAGCCTTCTGGGTTTGCTTTTCTCAGCACCCTTCCATGGACTCCTGCAAGGTGTTTTCAAACACCCAAGGCTCCACTGATCAATAACTATTGGTTTAGGGAATTGAAACGAAGTCATATAGCTCTTCCCTCCCTTTTTCTGAAGTATAGAGATAGGAAACTGTCTGTAGCATTTGGTTTCACATACTAAAAAAGTTGATTTAATTCAGTAGAAAATGCTTAAACCAAGTAATAGGCCAAAACTTGAGAGAGAACGGGGATACAATTACTTTCTTATTTGGAGCCTAAATGAAATATGGGAATTCTTAAATTGTTGCCATTTCACTTATCATTGACAATATTCGCAATTACCAGTGGATTACCAGTGAAATTTCTTCATAAAGAAATAATATAAAGTATATAGAAAATATAATGAAAAACAAAAGAGCACATATCAAAATACTGACTGAATGTCCACTAAACAATGTATATTTATTTTCTGTGTCATTGGGTGATCCAGGCATTTTTCAAGGAAAGCTCTATTCAAAGGCACTGCTCAAGGATTTTTTCTTAGCATTCTAAAAATGCAGAAGAAGAGTTTCAAATTATTTGCTTACTGCCATCAATGAAAAAAAAAATTAATTTTGACTGCAGTGTGCTTTTTGTTAATTCCAGTGCTTTTCAATGTGCTTCATATATTTCCTTTACTTGTAAAGTATCAAGGAGTTCAAGACTAGCTTCCTTTCATCTATAAAATGTTGTTCATATTTAGCAAATAACAAACTAGTTAAGATTGCAATGACAAAAACATTTCAATTTGAAAACCTCCCTAGAGGGGCTGTGCTCGTACCGACAACCTGTACCGCTCCACATAAACTAACACCCTGCCGTTAAGATTGTCGAATAAGATATATAAAGATTTGTAGTCTGATTATTTGCTCTGTTACGCTAGTATAAAGTGAAATAATGGCAAAACCCACTCTTTTGTAGTTTTATTCTTAATTGAAGCATTAACTCCACTGGGCAGCTTTAATCTTGACACTGATTTTTTATATAGCCAAGAAGGATTTTAGTACATCCCTGTCATCCATACACTTAACAACTGCAAGGAGGCTCTTGGGGACTAAGTTGTGTGATTATATTACTGTGTTGTCTCCTCGGGAAGTTTACATTCATCTTTCTTGACAGTCAACAGCAAACATGCATGTTTATCCATATGAAGCATTCTCTGTATTTCCAAAATTATGCTTTAGTATATAAGTGTTCATTTAAATAGATCAGATACACAGCCTCAAGACAACTTTAAGCCCATGAAGGCCATATTCAAGATGAAACAGTTCTTTCTATATTGTTCACTCTTTAGATGATGACACTAACTTTTAATAAGCTTGGGTGATTTGTGGAGGAAAAATGAATATAATCTAAGAAGAAAATTAAGTTTGGGGATGTGTATTATAACACACACATTTCTTTGTCGTATTTCAAACGAGAATACATGCAGCCTGGAGACCTGGAGCACCTTCCTCTCTGATCATCCTGCTTTTGCACACACAGCCCGAACTCCCCTAATTCTTGTCTTGGGGGTTGAATAGAACCCTGCTTCTCCCCAAAAGCGCTGTGAAGCTTTGAATTAATCTTTTATGTTCTTTCGTAATGTGATTGAGGCAGAATTGGCAGGAATATGAACAGTTCCACCAACAGTGGAATCGATAGGAGATGTGGAGCTTTTAAATGTCTAACGCCAATTGTACAACCGTTCAGTATGTCAGAAATCATAACGGAAAATTCCATGTTTTTCCCTGTTGCTCTTCGTTCCAACAAATGCTGTTCAGCTGAGCCCTGATGCTGATCTTGCTGAAGTTCCTAGTTAAGAGGATTTACAGTATAATTAGGCTAAAAGATGATTTGAAGTGGAAAACAGTTGATGAGTAACACGTTTAATTTGTTTTGAAGTATGAACAAAGTGAGAGAGATGTGTGTCTGGTTTTCCATTAGAAGTTAAGGTCTTTTCTGCTTTTTTCCCCTTTTTTCAGAATGTCATTGGGAAAGCATTTGGCCTCAGTTCTGCAAACACTTGAATACATGAGTAATAAGGAATCTTCTTGATCCTGCTGAGGACTGAGTAAAACAGTGTGTTTGTAATATTGGAAATTTCTGACATACATTTCAAAGAGAAAACCTGAAAGAGACTGAAACAGGAATGATTTCTATTCAGATATTACACAGAGTTGTTCTAAAAATTCTTAGCTTGCTATTGAATCCACTAAAGTACATCTATACTTTAAACAGCTTTAGCTGGCTCTTTTGTCAAGTTGTTATGTAAACTACGCCCAAAGAATTATCACTCGTCATATTGGAAGGATATGTCAAATAGGGGCTTGCAGAGATCTGGTACTATTGGATATCTTTATTAATGACTTTGGAATAGAGAATATGATTCTTAAAGTTGCAGCTATAACCAAGTTGGAAGGGATAGCACGCATTTTGCAGGACAGGATTATAAACAAAATTATACTGGCAAATCGTGCAGGTAGCCTGAAATATAGGATGAAATTCAATGGGGACATGCAGAAAGCACTACAGTTAAACAGGAATAAAACCGCGAAGTGTATGAAATTCTGATAACAGGAGAGGATTCAGAGGTTTTTTAGTAAATCAGAAACAGTATGAGTCAGCAATGTCATACCGTGAAGAAAGCAAACATCATACTGGGATATATAAACAGGAGTCTCGTATGTAAGACACATGAAGTAATACTTCCACTCTGCTCAGTACGCACAAGGCCTCAACCGAAGTACTGTATCCAGCTTTTGGCACACCGTTTCAAGAAAGTGGAGAGGGGCCAAAGGAAAGCAACAAGAATAATCAGAAGTCTAGAAAAGACAACCCTGGGTAAGACTGAACGAGGCGGGGTTGTTTAGTCTACAGGAAAGAAGACGGACTGAAGACACGCTAACAGTGTTCAAATATGTGAAAAACTGCTGCAGAAGAGGTTATATGCTGCTCTCCGTGGTCATTGCACATAATAAAATAATGGTTTAAAATTCAGTTAAGGCTGTGTGGACAAGTTTTCTTACTAGTTGCCTGTATGGACAGAAAATTCTGAGCAGATCTCCTAGGAAAACGGCGGCATCCCTCTCCGGTGGGTTTAGGTCAGGCAAAGAGCTGCCAAGAACGGCTGAGCTGCAACGTGGGGCGATTAGGCTGGACCCGGTGCGCTGCTTGCTATCGTATTTGCTGTCTGGGCTAGCACGTTTCTTTACAAATATTAACGCAGCTCGTCGCTGCGCAGCA